TTCTGTGCTGAACACAGATTCCTGGTTGGTCTACAGGCTTGAAACTTTTGCCTAATCTCAAGTCAGAATGCTGTTGAGGATAAACAAACATACCATGCACTTTTATAAATTCTATTTTTGTTAAGCAGAGTGACTGATGTGACTATTTATCCGTGGGGATAAATGGCCGGGAGGGGGCCAAAACGTTTCGGTTGCGGACAGGAGCGGAGAAATGATTCTGATTTTCAGCAGGAGCGGGTGGGAGTGGGACTGGGACTGAGAAACAGTCCCACGCGGACCTCCACGCTTGAGTACTCGTGCTCATCACTGGTCCAAGCAGGAATATACAGAAAATGCTCCCAGAATGGAGACTTGCTTCACTGTTATTGTAATGTTTTGAGGATGCATTTTACATAAATGTTTATAAAGCTGTTCCTCTTCTGTTTGCTGATACCTTAAACTGCTCCATTTTGATTTTGGAGTAGTTCTGGGTCAGGTTGAGTATTGTTTGGGTCTGGGTCTGGGTGTTGGACTAGGTCTGGGTGTGGGTGTGGGACTAGGTCTAGTCCTGCCTCCCCAGCACTACTGGAAAACCAGTCCGCTTGCCGCACAGCTCTGCTGATTTGTGTAGTTGAGATTTTGGAGCCCATCCTGGCATCTGCGCTTACCCATGAACCATTTCACAGACGTATAAATCAGCCTTTGTGTAGAATGGTGTGCACGCGATATTGTGTGTACATGGACGTCTATGGGCTCGTAGTGTGACTGTGTGTCTTCCTGGATGCTGCACGCTGCTCTGTTGCTAGGCAATGGCAGTCCGGCTCGGGATTGCTGTGTGTTCGGTGTGTTTAGTGAATTCCACTGTGTAGTCAGTCGGCATTAATCTGCTCATGCATGATGGGAAACAGCCAGTGCTTCATATCAGAGTAGCATCACTGCAGTTCATCAATACAGCTTACATGACAGAGCAGAATCAGTCAGAACGTTTTGTGGCTGAAGTCATACAGATTTTAGGGGAAGGTAATGCAGTACATTCTCAGAAATAAAGGTACTAAACTGTCACTGGGGTGGTTCCCCTCTTGTCACTGGGGTGGAACCCTCAAGGCTCCATCTCAGTACCTTTAGTCAGGGAACATAACTGAACCATAATCCACTGAAATGATATGTTCTAAGCTGTACTGACTCCACACACCCCGTCTCGCCTCCAGGCTTTTATTTTACTGTTCTGTTTTAAAACATTCGGTTATGAAAAGGTACAAATACGAACTTTTCACCTGGAGAAACTTATTTTTTTGTCGACGAAACATGGAGAGAAAAGTCCAGCAGATTTCAGGTGGTCTGATTTAGGCTCAGTCTCATTTCTTACTTTTACCCCTAGTGGTTGAAATCTTCCCTCTGAAATGGGACCCTCAAATAAAAAGAGCTTTACTTCATTAACAGCTACCAGCGCTGCTCTGTAGGTGACCCTGCCAGTCTGCAGTGACAGCAGAGGAGGGTAAAGTTCAGCTCCTCACTGCTGGGCTTTAGTTACATTTAGGGCATCATATGATCTTCAAAGAGGGGGGCAATTATTTATTATCACCCACCCCTAAATCTTCAGTGATATGAAGCTGAAGTCAGATATTCATCAGCTTCTTGTTCGAATTTTCCCGTTCCACCTTAACTCGAGCAGCAGTTACATTCTGGCGCTTCAGGTGTCAGAACTGCTGGACTATTTAAGGTGGAGTGGGAAAATTAGCTAGCTAGCTGCTAAGACATTAGCGTACTATTAGCTATTTTTATGCTTTGCCCTCCCCCTCTATCCCAACAAGATTCAGGACACCCTACTGCTAGATGAGAACATGCAAAATGGAGGGCTAGGGCTGAGTGGTAGGGGTGAGGGGTGAAATGGGACTGGGCCACAGTATATAGTAGCTAATTCTATGTCTGTGTTCACACTGGATACCATACATGCATTGATGCGTTCCATCAGCAGCACCTGATTTAAAGCTGCAAGCTTTTTTTGTTAAAATATAAAATATAATAATTGCGTATCTTTATGTATTAACGTCAGACACACAGGCACAAGAAGTAGCTCAATGTTTAGGTCTCAAATGATCTCACAATCAACATTATACTGATGAAGATATGATGATAATAGTAGATAATTCACTCACATCCTCAGAGACGCTCCTTCACCAAGTTTAGACTGAGTTCTCTTTGAATTCTCCTTCAATCAGCAGATTCCTCCCCTCAGGGAAGGAGACCGAAGCACAACCCACGCTACAAAATGTTCTTTTTCCTCCAAAGAGGTCTCTAAATCCCGGAAATGTACAAATTATTTAACTTTATGTGATGAAAGATTCATTAGATAAATCGGGTATTGGATAATAACTGCAAATATAGCTTAGCCTCTTTGAAACGGTTGAAAAATGGTTAAACAAAAACAGTGACGTACATAATGTCGCTGTATATTGTATATTATTGTCTATCAGGTGTAAAAAGTGCGCATAATGCACACAGAGTAACTTCCAGATATCAGGACAGTTAACAATACACAGAATAAAAATGCATTAAAAATCCAGGGCAGCACTACAAGAGCATTTCAAGAAAGTTCAGTCGTCCTCATGAATATTTTGTTGAAGGCTGTATCTGAGAGAGCGCTTTGCAGTTTCCTCTCGCGGATGTCGACTGTTCTTCCTCTTCTAATGCGCCGCCCGTTCAAACTGCTTCATAGTGTTCGACACAGTGTGAGTAACAAAAAGTTGCAGAGTGTTTTATTCTGGGATTTTCATTCCTGCTTAGATAACAACTTCAGCATAAAAAATTCAGGGAATCATTGGAAAGATTTCTGCCGCTGTGGGGGAGCGGCGTGTGACAGAAAATAACCAGGCATCGTTTTGGAGTTCGGCGTGACTGAATTAGTAAAAACCGCTGCGGTCTTGTAGCCCCGTGGAGTTTATATTGTCTTTTACTCTTAATTTGCATTAAAACGTTAGTCTCTTAGAAAATCCTACCCACCACAGCTGTCTCAGATGAGCAGACTTGCTTTTTTGAGTTGTAAAGTTATACGAGGGTTGTGGAATTTAAATAAAGTAACCTGAGTTAGTACCTCACCTTTTTTATTTATTTATTTTTTACCTGTTTAAGTTGCTTTTTGGATACTGACGTTTGATTAAAGCAGCAGTGATTTAGCCGTTTTTAAAGGAGCTCTATACAATTGTTAATATTTGAACTCAACAGCAAAACAAACACACCCCACTGTCGAGGCCAACACTCGTTTTTAGATCTCTGTGGCCATGTAACTCTTCGCAAACCTTGTACGCATAAATGCCGTATAACGTTAGAGTAGCTAACGTTAGTTGAGCAGTGGTTGGCAAACTGTTGCTACAGTTGCTGCCGTGAAGCAAAACAAAAAAACAAAAACATTTTCAAACAGGACAAAACAATGCTGACGTACTGATTCTGTAAAACAGCAAAAATTAGTTGCCCAGCTGTCCAGCAGCAGCGACCTCCTCATCCGTTTTCATGCCTTTCGGCTCTCATGGAAGTTGAAGTAGCTTCTTTTTCGCCAGCTTCTTGTTTGAATTTTCCTGTTCTGCTCTAAATTGAGGGCCTCACTGGGGAGGGCAAAGTGAAACGTGGGGAGGGGGGGCGACGTTTTCACAGGGCGTGACTAACATGCACACGCGGCCGTCCTGGCTATGAAAACAAAAGAAGCTCAGATTACAGCACACACAGATTCTTTTTACCAAGTCATTTTGGGCCGTCTCTTTTGGTCCATTCATCATGAAATTTACACGCAATGTAAAGAACAACAGGCATTTTCAAATTATGTGTGATATATATATATGATAGTGTTAATATACACATAGATAGATTGTAGTTAAGTATTTATGAAAAATACAGTGCAAAATACTTTACAAATATACAGAAATGTAAATATATACAGTGTTTTCAATGTACAGTAGACTATGTACAGTATGCTGTGCACTGGTATGTGTATTACATCATAGGAATAAGTAAGTCCAGTGTGTTTGATGTAGGGCTGGTGGCCTGTGTTCATATCCAACATCACATATCATATCCTTCACACAGAGAGAGAGAGAGAGAGAGAGAGAGAGAGAGAGAGAGAAGAGAAAAGCTTCATGCTCTGTCTGTTTTCACCAAGGTGGATGGGAGGGTGTGATCCTCATAGAAACCACAGGAGGAGAAAGAGAGAGAGCGGGGTGTGTGTGTGTGAGGAGGGGGGTGGTTTAACACATCCCTTAATACATCCTGGCTGTCTGGACTCACTGCAGATACCTGTCCTAAAGTAATAGTTCAGCGATAAATCAAATTTACCCCTCAAACGTCTTCAGTCAGCCAAAACATGTTTGGTGTCTCCAGTCTGACTCTTGAGTTCTGCGCTGGAGCTACGAGGCTAAGGTGCCAAACTAGTAATGGAAGCTTGATACGCCACCAGTTAGCATTGAGCTAACTGCACACCTACATCATCACACACCTGCTTCAATCAGCATCGAGTGGCCTGTACATAAAGACGGCTGCTGCTGTTCTTACCTGTGCTAATGGACTGATGTCCATGTCCAACAGTGTCACAGCACATAAGTTGTTGAACCCTTAAATGGTCAGGGCTGACCGGCAGGCCCAAAGTGTTATTACACACATTTATAACCTAAGAATAGCTCAGCCGGTTTGCACTGACGTCCCTGTAGTTACTGAATAATAAGCCTTAGGATGTAAATAAGCCTGAGATTTTGAGGGGTTAAATAATCTCCACCAACGTACAGCACTGTTAGCTTGGTGCTAATATAAGACTGGAAATTGCATAGAGGCGCTAATGGAAATTAGCATTGCCATTGCAGTGGTAATTGGGTGAGCAAAAGCTAACAGTGCTATAAGTTGATATACTTAGTATTATATGATAAACAGTAAAAAAAGGTTAAGCAAATGACCGCAGCGTGCGCAGCGATGGGCACCTGAACGTTCTTGTCCTTCAGTGGTCACTGTAACATCTCTCTCTCTCTCTCTCTCTCTCTCAGGGGTCAGCAGCAGGCGTTTCTGTTGGAAAATGTTCCCTGTAATAATGTGAGCTGTAGGGAAACAGGCCGAATGTTCCGCATCCACTGGGAGCAGACTGACCTCAGCTCCGTCCACTCTGCAGCCGTGGCAACCTTCTTCGACATCTACGAGGACGTGAGTTCATTCTCATTCTCTCTCCTTCTCGCTTTCTCTCTCTCCTCCCTCCCTCCCTCTCGTTCTCCTTCTCTCTAGCTCTTCTTTCTCACTCTCTCTATCCCTCCCTCCCTCTCACTCTCCTTCTCTCTCTCTCTTCTTTCTCTCTCTCCTTCTCTCTCCTGTTGCATGCTGGGAGTTTGACTGAGAGTGGTGTGGGGTGAGACTCTTGGTGAGAGTGACTGCTACTTTTTCACTTTTTTCTTCTTCTAAATCGCATGATTTGGTGAGTACTTTGTGCTGGTTTGTTGTTGTGGTGTGTGAGTTGTGGCAGGGATGGTGTCTCTTGAAGAGACACCATCTTTGTCCCTCCGCCATGGCTTCAGGTGTGTGCCTGAAGATAGTGTAATGGTGGAAGATGTTCTCCTTGCTGTAGGAGAGCAGGTTGGTACTGAACACATTATGTCTGCATCTCGTATGAATAAAGCAGTGGTGGTCTTTCTTAGAGAAACCCACCTTGTTAGCCGGCTAATTGAAAGTGGCATAGTTATAAATGAAATGTTTGTGCAGGCCACGCCACTGTTGGCTCCCTCCACAAAGATCACTGTTTCAAATGTACCGCCGTTTATACAGAATGAGGTGCTGGAACGTGAGCTTTTACGATTTGGTAAGATTGCTAGCTCATTTAAGATGGTTTCGCTTGGCTGTAAAAATCCTTCACTTAAGCATGTTACGTCTTTTAGGAGGCAGGTTTACATGTTTTTAGACTCTCCTGATCACACACTTGATGTTTCCTTCCGTGTAAAACATGACGGGCGGGCCTACATGGTCTATGCTAGTTCAGGCAGCCTGCGCTGCTTTGAATGTGGTGATATTGGACATAAACGGTTTGCATGTCCGCACAGGAGGCAAGAAGAGGGAAATGTTAATGTTAGGTCTGAGGTAGGTGCTGCTGTGAGCGCAAATGTTGGTCAGGGGGAGGCCGTCGGGCCTTCTCAGGTGGGCCATGCTGAAGCTTTGATAGAGCTGCCTGCAGTGTCTGAGCAAGAGAACCAGAGTGTGGACAATGCAGTGCCCAGTACGAGTGGTGTCATACAGTTGAAAGGCAACATAGAAATGAGTGATCTGAATGAGAGGACAGCTGAGACCAGTGCTGCTGGTTTGAATGATGTTGAATTGAGGCTGGATGAATCCTTTTCTGATGAAGGGGGTGCTTGTTTGCAGGAGAACCCTGGTGAACTTGGGGCTTCCCAAGAGTGGCCCTGTAGTGGTTTAGAAGTCAGTTCTCAGGGAGCTTCACAGGTGGATCAGTCAGTTTATACTTTGGATGAAGTTAACAGTTTTTTAGATGAGACCTACGGAAAACAGGTTAATGTGAAAGATTTTTTTCCTGATATGGAGAAGTTTGTCAGGTCGGTTTCACTGCTCCAGAAGACTGTGGGTCTTGACCTTTTGAATGAGAAAAAGCGCTTTCGGCTAAAGAAACATGTTACACACATACGTAAGTATGGTAAACTGGTGAAGAAAAAGTCTTCCAGTCATCTGTGATAAATTGATCATGCGTCACGTGGTGTCTCTACCTCCTATGTTTCTGTTCTTTCTCTTGGCTCTTCTCTTAGGTCTATTTATGGAAGTTTTAAGAGTAGGTTCTTTTAACATAAATGGGGGTAGAGATAGACTGAAACGTGCTTTAGTATCTGATACTATACAGCAGAAAAGACTGCATGTTACTTTCCTTCAGGAGACACACAGTGATGTGGATAATGAAGTTGAGTGGGCTATGTGGTGGAGGGACAGCATGTGTTGAGTCATGGCACCAATTTGAGTGCTGGGGTGGCGATTCTTTTCTGTCCTTCATCAGGGGTTAAGATTTTGCACACAGAAGAGGTCGTGAAAGGTCGTCTTGTAGTGGTCAGGGTTGAAATTAAAGGCATTCAGTTCTCCTTTGTGAACGTCTATGCCCCCAATGTGGGGCATGACCGTGTTGCATTTTTTAACACTTTGCACACTACTTTAAGTCGGTGTGCTAATGATGGATTTACTGTCATTGGGGGGGACTGGAACTGTACGGTGGATTTTACCATAGACCGTACTTCTGAAGAACCTCACATACAGTCTTCTGTGTGCTTGTCTAAGCTCCTGAAACAGTTTAGGTTGTTGGACATGTGGAGAGTTAAGAATCCTGTAGCTAGACAGTATACATGGGTCAAGGTCTCTGATAATAGAATTAGTGCTGCTCGGCTAGACCGAATTTATGTGTCTACACATCTTGGCAGTAGAATCACTGAGGCTGTCATTTCTCCTGTGGGGTTTTCTGATCACCACTTGGTTTCTATCACGGTGAGCTTGTCACGCATTTCTAGTGCACCTTCATATTGGCATTTTAATGTGAAGCTGTTGCATGATGCAGTTTTTTGTGCAAGGTTCATGTGCTTTTGGGAACAGTGGAAGACCAAAAAAGTTGATTTTGAAAATTTGAGACAGTGGTGGGAAATGGGCAAGGCACAGATAAGAATGTTTTGTCAACAGTATACAGCCAATTCAAGTACAAGAGCAAGACTGACTGTCCAGGCTCTCGAGAGGGAGATACGCTCTCTGGAGCTTGGACTGACTGCTACTCATGACCCTGTTACGTTGGGAAAGTTGCAGCAGAAGAGGAAGGAGCTCAGTGTCTACTTGAATGAGAGGGTGAAGGGGGGCCTTGGTGAGATCCGTTTTACTACACTCGCAGACATGGACGCTCCAAGTGCCTTCTTCTTCAATCTGGAACGTTCAGTAGCACAGCACAAGCAGATGGTCTGTCTTCGCCTTCCGGATGGACGAGTGTCTACTGATGTCACAGACATGCGTAAACATGCAGTGGATTTTTATTCTGCTCTTTACACTGCAGAACTCTGTGACTCTGACTGTGTTGCGCAGCTTCTTCAAGGACTCCCACAACTGGACTCTGAATCCAGAGATGAGCTAGACTCTCATCTGACTCTGCAAGACCTCACTGCTGCGGTTGGACAGCTCAACACAGGACGGTCTCCAGGCATTGACGGCCTGCCCTCTGACTTTTATAAGCATTTTCTGGGACTGTATTGGGGGAATTTTTATGAAGTAATCTGTGAATGCATCAGGGAAGGGGTTTTACCTGGTTCATGTCAGCGTGCTGTGTTGTCTTTGTTGCCTAAAAAGGGGGACCTCTCTCTTTTAAAGAATTGGAGACCAGTTGCTCTTTTAACCACTGATTATAAAATCCTTTCCAAATGTTTAGCCAATAGGCTCAAAAATTACTTGTCTTTGGTAGTGCATAGGGACCAGTCTTACTGCATTCCTGATAGATCGATAATGGACAACCTGTTCCTTGTGCGAGATGTATTTGGATTGCTGTAAGGGTTCTGATAAGAGTGTTTGGGCTGGTTTTCTCTTGATCAAGAGAAAGCCTTTGACCGTGTTGATCACCAGTACCTTTTTAATGTGCTTAAGGCTTTTGGCGTGGGGATGGTTTTTTAAGTTTTGGTGTGCGTTTACTGTATTCTGGTGCTGCATGTTTGGTTAAGGTGGGGGGTGGGTTGAGCAGACCAATCCCAGTCACAAGAGGAATTAGGCCAAGGCTGTCCTTTATCAGGTCAGCTATACAGTCTAGCTATTGAACCGCCGCTCATCTGTCTGAGGAGGAGATTAGCTGGCTTTCAAGCTGCACAGGGATTTAGGGGTCCAGGGGCAGCACTATCTGCCTATGCTGATGATGTAACGGTTTTTTATCAAAAACAGTCAAGATGTTCAGGTTTTAGTTGAGTCCCTCAACTTGTATGAAAAGGCTTCTTCTGCCAAAGTTAACTGGGAAAAGAGTGAGGCTCTTTGGGTAGGCCAGGAACAGATGGAAAGGCTACCACGTCTGCCTGGGACTTTGAAGTGGGGCAGAGAGGGGTTGAAAATTTTGGGTGTCTTCCTGGGGACAGATGACTTTCAGAAGAAGAACTGGGAGGGTATAGTGGAGAGAGTGTGCACCAAATTGTCTCAATGGAATGGTTGTGCTGCACCCCGGTTGTCCTACAGGGGGAGGGTGTTGGTGGCAAATAACTTGGTCGCCTCCACCCTGTGGCACAGATTCAGTGTTTTACAGCCACCTGCAGGACTGGTACAGGAGGTGCAGAGGATGTTGGTGACTTTTTTTCTGGTCAGGACAACACTGGGTTCGATCAGCTGTCCTATACCTGCAGTACAAGAGGGAGGACAAGGTCTGGGGATATCAGGTCCAGGATCATGGCCTTTCGTCTGCAAGCTGCCCAACGACTACTGTTCCATGGAGCAATTGCTTGGAAGAATACTGCCACTGTCTTTTGAGACGAGCGTGAATGGGGTTTGATAAACACCTGTTCCTTATGACAACGCCAGAGGCTGTGTTGGCAGGGACTTACACCTTTTTATAGATCGATGCTGGAAGCATGGAAGGTGTTTTCTGCCTCAAGGACTACTGATACGCCTGTTGGTATGTGGTTGTTTGAGGGAGCCATTGTTCTTTAACCCCCTTTTTACCATCAGCTCTTTCATCTTCAGCAGTATTGCGCTCTCGTTGGTGGCTGCAGGATACACGAAGCTGGCCACCTCATGAGAACTGGAACAGCGGCTGTGAGTGAGAGGACGGGGATCAGGTCCGTTCGGTCGTGCTGAATCATGGTGATGGCAGAGGTGCAGAGGTCACTGCCAGCTGACTACCTGAGCTTCCTGAATGACCCATCTGTCATCGCCCAGTGGAGGGAAGGATGTCAGTATGATTTTCCTGAACTGACTGTTAGCCTGCTGTGGAGTGGACTGAGGACGAGAGGTGTCTCCTTTCCTTCACCACTCCAGTACTAGGCACCTTCTCTTTGGTTGGAAAGAAGACACTGTACTTGGTTATGTGTGAAGGTGTCCCAGGCACGCTTTCTGGATGGAGTTTTTATCAACAAGGTGGTCTGAGTTGTTTGGCACTGACTCCTCCCCGAAGGCTGCTGGCGGGTTCTGTATAAGCGTCCGATTGATAAACGGACAGC